CCCCGACACTCGTTGGGCTGCTCCACCTCCTCCTTCTGACGATCGCTGGGCTCCCCGACCGACAGCCGGCCGCGTTCCGTCTCGTCGCACCTCGAGTGGTCCCCCGGTCGGCGCTCCAAATGGCCCTCGCGCGCTCTCGTCGAGGGCGCCTGAGAGGCCTACACTGTCGGAAAGGGATTTGGACGCCGAGATGGAGGAGTACAACAAGGCGAAGGAGCTCAGCCCGGACCCAGAGTTGAGGGATGTGCAGCAGCAAGCGCCGCCACGTCAGCCATCACCAGCGCCCGAGCCCACTCCTCAACGACCTGTAGAGCAACGTCGCGACAAAGTTCCTTCGCCTCCAGCCGCGACTCGACCCTCGTCATCCAGGGAGGAAGAATATGTGGAAGCACTAAAGTCGAGGCCGTCCGAGCGCGAGGAGCGTCGTCGACTCTCAAAGTCACCGCCGTTGGCACCTCACCCGATGGACAAGGCATGGAACCGTCGTCGCGGCCCTATGCCTCCTCGCGGCGGTCCCCCGAGTCGTGGCGCCTCGCCTCCTCGAGGCCCAGCAGGACCGACGGGTAACGTGTGGCCAGTGCGACGTCCTCGCTCGCCGTCGCCGCCTCCTCGCCGACCACATTCGCCTCCTCCTCACCGAGATCGCTCTCCTCCCCCTCACCGAGATCGCTCTCCTCCCCCTCACCGAGACCTCTCCCCTTCTCTTCCCCCTCCTCCTGGTCGCGGGTACGGCCCTCCACCACACCTCCCTCGCCGTCGTTCTCTCAGCCCTCCTGGACGCGATGGCCCTGGTCCTAGGTTCGCCGCGGACGCTCGGGAACGGGAAGCTCGTTTGGAGAGGGATCACCTCTTCGCAAGGGGAGAAAGAGGGAGATTTAGGGATCCGGATGTCGACAAGCAGCCGCCTCCGTTCGTTTATCGCGAGGAGTCGAGAGGAGCTCGTGGGAGGTCGCCGCCGCCTGCTGGCTCTTCGCTTCCTGCAGCGCCCGTGTCGGTACCTTCACACCCGGCTCTTCGCAGTCCGCCTCGAGCTGAGCACACCAATGGTGACCGTTCGGAACCCTCTCAGGTACGAAATTCCTCTTCCGTTCTTTCTGCAACGCGTTAGCTGACGTCTCTTTACTCCTCCAGCGCGATGGACCTCCTCCCCCTGCTCCTTCCGAACCCAAAAGCCTCCTCCACCGACTCGGTGGCATGTCAGATAGTCTTCCACCTCGACCCGATTCGTCAGCCAAGCGAGGACGCGATCCTCTCGACGATCCACGGCCACCACGAGCGAGAAGCCCCCCACGTGGCGGTGGTGGAGGGCGTTCGGGAAGAAGAAGACGGTAGACAGGTTTTGGAGCTGCTGTACTTGCTCGTGGTAGCGATTGTGCCAATTTACCACCCGGGCGTTTCTTTATTCATTTCTTCTCTTGTCTTCGTTCGTGTATGATGTCGCTCCAAACGAATTGAGCCCGATAGGCTGGCGTCGGTTGTCCCATATCCAAACTTTGGACGCCAGTGCCGTCAGATAAACACCGATTTTGCAATGAAGTCCTTTTCAACAAATTGAAGGACGCAGAGTGTTTTTCTTTTGTTGTTCCCCGGAACGTCGGACACGGGAAGCCCTGGGCGTGCCGTGGCGTCGAAGCCGGGCGATCATGGAATGTGATGACGTGAACGACGGGTCGGTGCTTCCATTGCTTGTCCTCCTTCCACATCATCCTCCTTCTTCTCACAACATGCACATCTCACTGCCAGCCCTCCTCCTGCTCCTCCTGCCCGCCGCGACACTCGCCACCGTGTCCGATTTCGATGCGGCCAGGTCGTCGAACAACATTCGCGCCCGTTACTTTGCCCGCCAGGCCGTGAAGGCGGAAGCTTCCAAAGCGTCTGGTTTCGCCCCAAGGGACCCTGAAGCCCAGTCACGCGCGTTTCTTGATGCAAAGGGTGTGAGCAACCTTCGAAAATGGTCGGCGAAGCGAGGGGTGACTTGCCCCAGCAATGGAGAGTGAGTGCGGTGGGCTCGGGAGACTCAGAAGGATAAATAGCTAACACAACGCGGCGTATCAAGAGCCCCACTTCCTTCGGGAAAGTGTAGTTCCGCCAATGGTTGGTGAGTCCCTTTCGCTTTCAGTGCCCCCTTACACGTGGTCGAGGACTCGAGCTGACGTTTCGCCTGCTGCCCCTGGATAGCACAAGCTATTGCAGCTCCTTAACCCAGAAGTACGGAACAGCCCTTTGTACCAACACACAAACGGATCTCTTGAACTGTGGAGCATGCGGCAACGAGTGCGTTCAACAACCCCCTTCGCCCTCGCGCCCACGAGCGTTTCCTGACTTTTCCTTCATCTCGCGCGTTTTCGGCTTCACAGTTGTCGGAGTCAAACATCGGGCTCATTCCCTCCATTCACGAGCTGGTAAGTCGGCGGTTGTTTTTTCGTGAGAGAACGGTGCTGAAAGCCGATTGGTTGCTACAGCACCGCGGGGAAGTGTAGCTTCAGCTGCGGTCCAGGTTTCAACCTTACACCTCCGTCGGGGTCCATCACTACGTACAAATGCACATTTGCTTCTGCCTGAGTGACGGAAATTAGATTTTGTTGTTGGTTTACATAAGGACCAGCATCTCTTGATGGATAATATCGTACGAGTCCGCCGACACGCGCTCAGATGATTTCTTATTGATGACAACTTGAGGCCAGAGAGCCAACACAGCTAATAAGGGTACTCTTCAATACTGACTTTCTATTCAACTATCTACAAAGGCTAAGCACGCATGATGAGTGTCCGTTTCTTGTCGTCGCGTTCTCCGTTCAGTACTTCTGAGCCTCAACCGTGTTCATCTCCACGAAAGTGTCCTCTGCCGAGTCCCTGTGCCTAGGAGAGAAGGATTGGGCTGGAGGCAGAAGGCGGTTGGGGTGGAACACGCTGAAAAGTGCCACAGTCAGCGCCCAGTTCTCCCTAACACGTGGTGCCAAGGGACGCAAGCCACCCATGAGGGACTGGAGACTCACTTGATGGCAAAGGTGCTGAAGGTGATGGGGACAGCATCCAAAAGGAAGAGGGTTTGGTTTTCCTAAGATTAAGTTGACAGTCGGGTCAGCATTTATTCGGAGGGAGCAGCAGCATCGAAGACTCACGGCGAGCGATCCGTTGAAGCCGCCAGCGAGCTGTTTGACGTGATTAGTGGAAATTCGTCAGCACTTGTGAGCTCATAAAGAGGGACTGTGCAAGCTCACCTCAGCGGTACGGTAAACGCCACGAATGAGGATGCCGAGCGAGCACAACGCCATGCCGAGAACGAGGAACCACAGGTTCCTATCGGCGACGCGCCATTCCTGCCCGGCACGGAACGCTCCCCAGTAGAGACCGTAGGCGACAAAGAAGACCATCACGACGAGCTGGATCACGATACCTGGAAAGTGCGGGAGTAGTGTTATCACCTGGAGTCAAGAATAGAAGAGTTGTCAACCGTACCAGCAAGCATGAGGCTGTGTAAGATGGAACAAGATAGTCAGTAAGTAAACAAGTGTATACAGAAAGGGCTGCACTCACTTCGAGCCAATGTCTCCAAGGGATGGAGTGCTAGCGGTGGCGGCGATTCCTCCTCCTGCGGCTTGCACGACGAGCGAGAAGACGTCCGCAACGATGAAGACGATCTTGAACTGCTTGGCGGAGAGAGGAGAGGTGTGGGGAGCGACGACGGCAATCTAGGGCGGGAATCGAGGGCCAGTCGTCAGTCAGAGCTATAGAACAGGGACGGATCAACGTACGAGTTGTCCCAAAAGCATGTAAAGAGCAGCACTCATGAAAGTCGGTGCAATGACCAAGCAGCAAATCTGCATGATGTAGCCGTTTCCAGCGCCGTCGTATCTCGACCAGATCCTGCCGCCCCAACCGACGACCTCCACTGTGTGTTCACCACGTCAGCGTGTGGTCGTAAAGCGTGATCGAAAGGACGACAACTTACAAACACAAGCGACCACCATGACCACCATCCACTTTGGACATTTCTTGGTGAAGGTCTGGACGGTGTGGATGATGCCCGAGACCGCGTAGAGCGCCAGGAAGATGACAGCCTGCGTGCCGCGACGAAAGGGTCAGGCGTTCGGCCTCGGTGTGGAAGCAGAGAAGGAGGAACGCAGACACACCATCACGAGTGAAGGCGTATATCCATAGCTGGACTGGTTGTCGGGAGTGCTGTATCCTGGCATGGCGAAACGGTGTTGAAAGGGGGCTGAGCGGGCGGAGCGGCGGAGATGGTTCGGAGAAGAGGATCCAGCAGATAGTCGAAGAAGAGTTGCTCTAGATGTGCAGACGTGAGCCGATGAGAGGAATGTGTAGATTGAGTGAAGTGAAGGAAGGAGAGCAACCCTCGGCCGGCGGGATGCGGTGGAATTTATACGCGCCCTCGAAAAACGAAGCGAACGAGAAACGCGACGGGCTTCGTCTTTTCTCGTCGCGTCGCTCCTGGTCGCGCGTTGCGACGGGCGAGCAGACGCCACGCCTTCGAACTGACTCTACATAGCGACCTTTCGGATGGATGGCGGTGCAGAACCTCTCGTCTAGCTTAGTTACAGGTGGTCTGTACGCCCTGATACAGGGCCCTGGCGAGTCAGTTCCACAACGTTTGTTTCCGTTCCTCTGGAATTCCCATCAACCGGTCTGCCGCCGCAGCTGAGGGGCTTCTTTGTCGGGGTTCTACGGACTTGGCGTTTCGGTAGGTACGAAACGTGAATGGTTTGGAAGAGGAAAAGGAGGCTCGCAAGTAATCCAGGTCGTCAGAGGTGCACAGCATTCAAGTCAGTTCGTCCGTCGGAGGCCAAGGGGTGACCCTGACGGCTCGCTTTTCGGGCTTTAACGGTCCCGTCGGGCTTGATTTTTCTCTTTCTTCTTCGGAAAAACCCCTCAAACAATATTCTCCATGAGGCAAGGACGCTGTGAGGCCGAGAAATTTTTTGTACGACTATTGTGCGTGACTGAATCCACAAATTGAATCCGACACGTCATGACATCAAGACGCTATCACCTAGTGGTTATGGTGGGAATTTACTACTATCTCTGTATTATGTTCCTGTGCTTGCACACCAGGGTTCGAATCCCTGTGGCGTCTTATTTGAGTTACTTTTTGCCAGTCTGCTTGGCTCTCTGTGACCATGCATGCATGGTCTGTTCGCATGAGTGCCTTGTATATATTTTTGATCATCCAAGACACAGGAAGGTCGTTTTCACGGTGAACAGCCTGGGTCAGTAACCATGGGGCGGCGATCGCGAGGCAACTCTCTGCCGACTCAAGTCGACCAGCGCTGCTCTGTCGTCCGACCACTGCTGACTTTCACTTTTGACGTGTTATGCCTCCCTACAGCTCTGAGTGCCAACCTCTTGACGGCGACAACAACGCGGCCGCGAAACGCAAGCCACGTCATGCAGTTGTTAATTCCATCGTCTCCCTCCCATCACGCTCATTCACGATCCCTCCAAGGCAACAAAGACGGCTCGCAACAGAACATGGAGATTGGGTATAGCTTCACCATGTATTGACAAGAAAATTGGTTTCCTCAACGCTCCCTGATCCCTCCTCCGCCCCGCTCGTAACCGAAGAAATGCAAATGATGTGAGACTCCTCGACGCCTCTTTTGACAGAAAGTTTCCCTTTCCTCTTTGACGACTCATGCCGTCTTCGACTTTTTGCTCCCACTCGGTCCAGCACCCGACCCATCATCATCTCCTGGTCTCCTGCAGGAGGACGCAATGCAGGAACACACAGAATTCACCAAGCGAGGGCAAGCGAGTGGAAAGGAGGCGAGAAGGAAGAAGAAGAGAATCAGCACTCACATCCCCATAAGCAGACGAGTGGACTGAGCTGTTTCCCAAACACGGAGGAAAGGAAGAAGGGGGGAAAAAGGATATCTACGTTTCCCCGTCTCTTCTTGAACTACTATAGGGTTGCTCTAAAGAACCTTGTATAACCTCCCTCCGATCTTCTATCGTGTTCGTCGACCGGAAAGCAAGTCCATCCTCGGAAAGGATACTTACTTGGCGGCGTTGACCTTGGCGAAGTACCTGTGGCGCCCGCGCACGTCAGTCGTCGCCCCTACGAGGGAAAAGAGGGGAAGGAAGACGCACTCAAGCTTCTTGGTGGGGTCGGTGACGATGGTGTGGGAGTTGGTCTCGGGCTCCCAGTTGGCTGGGCAGACCTCACCGTGCTCGTCGGTCTAACAACGCCCCACATGAAACGTCAGCACTCTGCGCCGAGACGAGAACGAGATCAAGAGAGGTGACGTACGAACTGGAAGGCCTTGATGAGACGGATGGTCTCGTCAACGGAGCGACCGACGGGGAGGTCGTTGATGGTGATCTGGCGGAGAGTGCCCTTGGGGTCGATAAGGAAGAGACCACGGAGAGCGACACCGGCGTCCTACAAACCACCGCGTCAGCTTCGCGTTCTCATCAGTCAACAAAGTAGGACAGCTCACCTCGATCAAGACACCGTAATCCTTGGAGATCTTGTGGTTGGTGTCGGCCAAAAGCTTGAGCTTGAGGTCGGGTCCGAGACCTCCCTGGTCACGCTTGGTGTTGGCCCAGGCGAGGTGGGAGTACTCCGAGTCGGTCGAGACACCGAGGACCTCAGTGTTGAGGGCGGCGAAGTCGGCGAGACGGGCGTTGAAGGCGAGGATCTCGGTCTGTTGCGAGAGGAGAGGGGCGTCGCGGAGGTTGGGTGAAAGGCAAGGAAGGCGTTAGAAGGAGCGCTTGATAGAGATCTGCAGGACAGCAACTTACGGGGCAGACGAAGGTAAAATCGAGGGGGTAGACTAATCAAGTCGAAAGTGTGGTGAAAGTGGTACAATGGGGCGGAAGGAGGCGAAGCGCGAGGGAGGAAAGTTACGCGGCGCGCGTGGCGAAAGTGAAGGTGACAAGGCGGTGGAAAGGGGGGAATAGTAGGGCGGACACGGTCAGCTCCATGCTCCTCCCACCGTTCAAATAGAGAAGTAACGAGAAGGAACGTACAGAAGAGGACGAGCCACTTGCCGGCAAAGTCGGAGAGCTTGAGCGTCTCGAAGAAGCCATCGACAACGGCGGTGGCCTGTCAACCCAGAAAAGGGAACGCCGTCAGTATCTACTCTTTCTACTACACTTCTGAACGCTTCTCCTTCTGCAGCCACTCGAGCAACGCGCGACCGGTCAAGGCGATATCGAGTTCGCGAATTACGCGATAGCGCCGAGTTGGACCATCGGCGCGCTCGGTCGAGAGCGTGGAAGGGGATCAAGGGATAGTGCGAGGAATGAAGACTGACCTCGAAGTTGGGGGCGGGCTTCTGGACGATGGCGACCATTTTTGATGTAAAGTGTGAGGAGGGGGGAGGTGTGGTAGGAAGGCAAGGAGAGGGACGGAGGCGCCGAACGAAAGCGCGGTCGGCACCCGGGCGCGCGCCTTACAAATTCGGGTCGCTCCCCTCTCGGCCTCCTGTCCTTTCTTTTTTCCGTGTCCGATGGGCCGTTTCCCGAGCCGCTCCGGTTAGATTTGCCTCGTTAAACATGGCGAAGTGAGTGTAAAAGCCGTTGCTGTTGTGCCAGAATCTTCCACTTTCCCTCCGCCACCAGCCTACAGCGAGCGAGATTCGCGGTGGCCAGTTGCCGCATCGCAACCCACTCGGCCGACAAGCTGCCCGGCGGTGGAAAGTCACCCTTCCACGTTCGTCCTTCTGCCACTACCGTCGCCCACCAACTCAAGCAGGACTGTCGCCCTCCAAACATCATCGAAGAAAGGGGTCTGGAAGAGGAAGAATGACGTGGCTCACCATCTGCCTGGGCTTGGGCACTACTCCGGCCTCGTTGGCGCGCTCGGGGCAAGGGATGACGGCGGTAAGGGCAGGCGGCCAAACGCTTGACGAAGTATCGCTCGATGTCTACCTGTTTGGAGCTAGCGGGCAACAACCAGGTCGAACGCAACGGTGCCGCCACCCAGTCTCTGGGATCCTGAGTCGCAAGGTCCGGCGCGCGCACGCGTCGAGGCGTGGCGTGTCGGGCGCTGCAACTAATCATCTTCCTAGCTCATGTACGGACGAACAAGGTTGGTACCGTCCCATAAAAATGAGCCGAATTTATGCTCTGTCAGGCCGCTGCTAGGACGCCCTGCTTAGCATTGTGGAGGAGGACCACGTAGGTCTCTGATCCTGCATTCGCTCATTCAGTCAGAGCAGGAAGGACAGAAGGAAGAGGTGTCGGCGTCGATCCTGGAACGACGGACAAGGACGTCAAGCGGGAGCCGGAGCGCATAAATAGGCCCCTCGTCGCTGGAGCTGGATGGAACACCGGTACAAGCCGTACCCCCGCTGCGAGGTCAGTTCAGTTGGAGATCAGCGTCGTCATTAGTACTGAATTGAAACTGTTTCCTTGGTACAGACAATCAGAGTTCTGCGCCTCTCGCTAGCCAACGAGAGCGGCGATCCCTGGGGATTGCGGGAGCCTACTGACGGGTGCGCGCTTCCAAGAGAGCTGGGAGGCCCGGCCCTGCCTTCTCGAGTGGCGCTGGCGAAGCCACACTCCTCTGAGAAGATGAGAACTTTCTAGGACTCGAGGAAGTGTGGGATTTTTTGCGCGAGGAGCGGGCAAAAGGGTTGGTGTGGTTTGGGGATTGTAGGACTGACGTGGCGTGTTTGGTTCAAACGCGAGGTTAGTTTGCACTATTTCGTCAGCCAGTGAGGTGGATCGTGGTCATTCCAGGGGGAAGGACCGGGTGCCAGCAAGCGTTGAGAGTCAGGTGCGATCACTTGCTCCACGAGCCTCCCAGTGGTGAGCCCCCCAGCCCCCAGGTTATCGCTCGTCGCCGCACGTGAAACGCTCGCCCTGGCTCAAGTTCCTGCCACAACTCGCATCAATCTCTCGAGCTCGACCTTCCTCCTTCGTTCCACCACCTCTAGAGCGAGCCACCCTCCCCTCTGTGCCCTCGTTTGCGCCCGCGCAACCGTCCCGTCTCGTCCCATCCCAGAGATCCGTCACCTTCCCTCGACTCGAGCCATGTTTGTCCCTCGTTCAGCTCCTCTCGTTGCGCCGCCGTCGCTGACCTGTAGCACCATCTGCTTTGCTCGACAGGAACTCGATGCCAGGCACGCCTCGAGCGTCGACGCCTGTCAAGGTGCAGCTCAAGCCAGGACGCCCAGCGGGCGCGCTCACGACGCCGTCGGGCAGACGCCACTCGTTTTCTGGCCGGTTCGACGCCGTGCTCACGCCAGAGGTGACGAACCTCGAGCGATGCAAGCTCAGAGACACCAAGTCGACTCCCAGCACCCAGGTCGGCGACGGCGATGAGAGCAGCAGCCCGAGCAGCAGCTCAGACAGCGAGGGGTCGGGCGACTCGGAGCACACGCTCCCGCTCATAGACGCCGCCTCGAAAAAGTCGCACGACCTCGTCGACGCTTCCAAGAGGGCGACCAAGGCTACCAAGGCTACCGCGACCGCCTCGACTCAGACGTGCACGCCCACGCTCGCATCGCGGTCCGACTCTGCGACGCACACGACGCCCTCCTCTGGCTCGCACGGCGCGGGGCACCAGCGTCGACCGTCGCCCACCACCCCGGCCGCCTTCTCGTCGCCCACGCCAGCCACCTTCCACCCGCACCAGGGACCTCCCCTCCAGTCGCCCTACCCCGTCCCAGCCGGCCTCGCGCTCGGCCTCTCGCTCCCAGGGTACCACCCGCACCAAGCTCAGCCGTTCGCGCTCCTGCACGGCGGCGCGCACCCTTACGTCCACTCGCACCTCGCTCACGACATGACGACGTACTACGACCACCACCCGACCCCGGGGACCCCGTACCACACTCGGTTCAACTCGTACGCGTCGCACTCGAGCGCCCAGGCTCACGACTTTGCCTGCCCCTCGAGCCCGCCGCCGTACATCCCCTCGACTTACGATTCGTACGAGGCGACGTGTGCCAGCCCGTGGATCCCTCACAACTTTGCTGCCCACTCTGGTGCGAGCGGTGCAGCGACAACCTCGATTCAGGGCATGCAGCACCCCCAAGCTCAGTACGACGGCCAGTACTACGGCTGGGGTCATCGAGGAGACGTGTCGACCCCCCCTTCGCCCGCTCCGGACGGCGCGGCATTCACTCC